TAGTTAGGTGTCAAACTGGTTTTGGTCCTTTAAAGGAATACAACCAGGCTAGCTCCTTGAGCCCAGTCCTGTTCTCGCTCTATATTGCCGACATGGAAGAAAACGAGACAAGCAGGAGGAATAAGAATTGAAAAGAATTTTATCTCTAGCGTATGCAGACAATGTAACAGTGTTGGCCACAGACGAAGAGGCATTGAAGCAAATGATGAGAAGGCTGCAGAAATACGCGAAAGATAAAAAGTTAAAAGTAAACGTTAAGAAATTCAAAATAACGGTTTTCAGAAAGGGATATGCGCGAAACAAAAAAATGAATTGGGAGTAAGAAGATAAAACGACAGAGAAGGTGAGAGAATTCTGCTATTTAGAATACACATTGAGAAAGGACGGAGGAAATGAAAGTCACATTCGAGAACTAAAGAAAAAGGCAAATGTAGTCAGAAAGGCTTTGGGGACTAGGAAAAAGCAAGTTTCAAAATGACTTCAAGATGAGCATCCTATTCGATTACTTAGTCATGGGGGTATTGATGTACGGCGCCGAATTATGGAGATGAAGGGAGTGGGAAGAAATAGAAAGAGTACAGCTCAAATATATAAAGTGGAGCCTGAGCTTGGATTCCTGTACATCAGGGTACATTGTGTTAAAAAAATCGGGTAGAATTAAGACAGGTCGAAAGCAGCGGTTAGAGCGATACATTTTAAAGAAAAATCTAGAAGTAATGAAAAAATATTGGTTAAAGAATGCATTAGGGAACTAGAGGAGGACAATACGAAGAACAGAGAAGGAGAAGAAAGAGAAGTATTTTTTAAGAAAAATAGATATAGCAAATCCTTAAAGGATTTAAGAGATAGAGGAAGGAGCATCGGAAAAATATTAAGAAATAGAAAAGAAGAAAGACTGAGGCAATGGATATGTAACGAAGAAAAGAATAATAGATATTGGGAAACAATAAAAAATAGGAAATGCAAAATGCAAAATCTATAAAAATTCGTTGAGTACATTGGAGCATATGATCAAACATTGGGAAAAAGCGGGGGATAGAATAAGGATAAAATAAGGATAGAAGAATTAAGCAAGAGCGGAGGAAATAAAATAGGAAAGATAATGAGATAGAGAGAGAGGGGGAGGAATGGAGGGGATGGTAGGAGTGTGGAAGAATGCGTGAGGATGTGCGAATGATTAAAGATTAATCGATGTAAATCAAGCTCTTATTCGTGCCTATGACTGAATAATCAAACTTACACACACACACACACCACACACACACACACACACACACACACACACATACACACACACACACACACACACACACACAACAA